TCGATATTTATAAGAAACTAAAACACATTGAGGTTTCCAGGAGGTATCTGCCAAATTCAGAAACACCTGAGCATTTTTTTCTGGAAAGATATCGTGTACAGAGTTGATTTAATTTGAGAACATAATAGAAGAACTTTTAGGGTCAACGAAAATATGAAAACTCCACCAGAGCCAATAAACCAAAGGCTACCCCTTTGCGTATGAAATAAAAAGCTCCAAGGGATAAATGTGTGGATAATTAAGTCCTTAAAGAATTGACCTGTTTCAGAACCCTGCTATTCTCCTAAGGTTAATGAAACCAAAGTTTAAAATGCAAGGCAGAAAAAGATATATTATACAGTAACGGTTCTTGAAGGCTGTGGTAAATTCAAGCACTTTGCTAAGCAATTCTCATCTAGGCTGTCATGAAATCCTAACAACCCTAAGAGCTAGGTACAAATGCAATTGCCATTTTATGGAGGAGACGGACAGTAAATGGATCAGTCACATTGAGACCCAAGCACAATGGCTCCAAGAACACATGGTCAACACGTACCTTTTTGTTTGTGTGTGTGTGCGCTTGGAGATCAAACCCAGGCTCTCACAAGCACTGGGCTCAGTTCACATTCAACACGAATACCTTTCAACATGACTTCAAGCATGATTTTCTTCTGATTCAAAGAGAACTCAGTCAAAACTTCATGCTGTGCTTTCACTCACAATGATTGGTTGCTTCTGTTGTTTTTTTCCTGAGACACTGAGAAGGCTCCATTTTCCCTTAGAACATACTTTTGCTCCCTCTGACAGTCTTATTTCAATATTTTAACTCAAGTCAGTGTTTCTTAAGGTGTGTTCTGTGGAACCTAAGTCCTGGGGAATATTACCAATCACTGTAAACAAAAACAGCAAGCAAATAAAAAATCCCTTCCTCTAATCTTGTGAATTCTCACTGTGTGAAAAAAATAAATAGAATAAAAATTCTCAGTCTCTTCAGTGTACTAGTGAATAATGTGGACCTTCAGAAGGAAGATATTGTTTCACAAATCATTTGACATACATGGAACACTGACACTTCTGCAAGTTGTGAGATGCCCCCAAAAGCCTAGCTCCAAGTGCAGGTGGAGGCCCTCTGCTTTGTCAATCCTTGTTTCTGTCCAGAGGGATTATGGGTTTTTTCCTAATTATTTGTATTAGCATTTATACTTATATAAAGCGAGGAATTCATTGTGATATTTCCATCCATGCATATAATGTACTTTGTTTATATTCACTCCATTACTTTTTCTTTTCTATCCTCCTTCACCCTCCTTTTTTAAAACTTTATTACAAATTTTGAAATAGGTTTCATTATGTCTTTTTCATATGTCACGAAGTGTATTTCTATCATATTCTCTCCCACTGCTTATCTCCCTTCTACCTCCCAAATAGTCCTCTTTTTATATATATATATATATTCATGTCCTTTTAAAAAATCTAGAGTCTCCATATGAAAGAGAAAATGAGGTCTGGCTTAACATAATGATCTCTGATTCCATCCATTTTCCTGCACATTATATAATTTTATTCTTCTTTGTGGCTAAATAATACTCCATTGTGTATATGTACCACTTTCCTTCTAATGGAAACTTCACCTTGCCAAGTCTTCAACACTCAGGTTTGTACCCACCCAGAAAGGGTGCTCTTTTTTTTTTTTTTTTAACTTCTCACCAAAGTGCTGCATGGTACAGGCAGGTCCCTTCCAGCCTGTTTTTGTTCACTTCATTTATTTCTTCTTACCCACTTGCTTGTGCCCAGAGAACATGGTATGTTTACATTTTATTTTGTCTGCCCTTTCTGAGACTTGTCGTCCAGGAAAGGCCTCCCCAAACCCCACAATTACCTTATTCCAGTCCCCACCAACAGCACACTTCAGTTCCTCATTGGTACTAATCACCAATGTGTTTGGTTGCACAAACCCATCTAGGTCAGAAAGATTTTTCACACTTATACAATCATGGGATTCTCTACTAACCTCTAACTCATCTTAATAGAACATTATGACGACAGTGATGCAAGCTAAGGAATGAAGCCAGGAAACCTCCTTCCAGGGGAGGGAACTGCTTTTGCAGGACCCTAGCATGACTTGTCACGCATTTTCCCATCCAGACCAAGAAGTTCTTGAGTCCCAACTCTCATGCATTCAATGTGGCCAGAGAAAGGGAGGGATTTGGGTTAGATTGCAGTAGGTTTTTGTAGTACAATGAATCTCATTCTGCTACCAATATTGGCACCTTCCTTCCCCAATTATACATACAGTCTATGTATATTGAAAATTACTTATTTTGAAAATGAAAAATATATCAGTTTTCAGAAGCATAACCCCCAAAATTCATTTTTGTTCTGCTTGGAGACAGGTTGATATCATGTGTTGGGTATTTTCTAGTCATCAGGCTAAAAAATTAACCTATTTTTTTAAACTCTTTCTGTGTCTACCAGTTCAACTGAGCTCATACTGACCTCATGTTCTTCTTACAAGTATTTGAATTTCCAATTCTCTTTTACTTGACCAGTTACCAGGACAATTCCAACACTCAGAAACTTAGTCCTCAAGCTATTTGCTTTAGAACAAATAATCTAATTAAGTAGGTAATGCAGCTTTTATGGGTAAGTTGAATTTTCCTTATTGCTTTCCGGAACTCCTTGGCAACTGTCTTACATTAATTCTTAGCACTAGGTAATTTAAGTTCTCTGAAGCACTAATCACTAAGAATTTTCATTTAAGTATCACTGCAGAGACTTTTATGCAAACAAATCCCCAGGAGCCAATAAATGATTTTGAATTAAATTTTCTTTTTTATAATATGGTGAGTAGCAACTTAGGAAAGAGCTGTACCTCATTTTGACTAGATTATAAATCATCCCTAGCTGCAAAAACTAAAGTTGAAAAAGCAAATACTAGAAATGGCCCCAAGGAAATAGGTAAAACACCCCAATAAGTGTTGGGCCCACCACTGTCCTCAAAAGAAGAAAGTAAAAGAATAATTTCTATAATGGTAAGTATTTTCTTAAGCAATGCTACCTCTTTTTTTTTTCCAGCTGAGGACTAAAAGAAAAACCACAAGGAAAAAAATGACTTTTTTTTTCCAGTTTTTTTTTCCCAGCTGAGGACTAAAAGAAAAACCACAAGGAAAAAAATGACTTTTTTTTTCCAGTTGATCACACTTTTAAGTCACTAGAAACTATGAATTTGAGCCATATCTCTGAAGATTTTATCTTACTCATTGCAGGAAAGATCCAAAAATATCTCTAACTGGTCATTTCAGAAAATTAGCTCTAGTTAAATTAAAAGGCTTTTTGCTACTTTGAACCTGAACTGGCTAACTGACTCTACAGAAACTCCAATGACTATGTTGGCAGACAGACCTCTTTAGATGTCCCGGCTACAGTTTAATTAATTCTGTGACAGCTCTTAACCTTTCTCAATCTCAGTGTCACCTAATGCCTCTCAATCTTAACTCATTTGTCTTTAAAATACAGATGATGATAGCATTTCTATAATGTAAGTATTTTCTTAAGCAATGCTACTTTTTTTTTTTTTCCAGCTGAGGACTAAAAGAAAAACCACAAGGAAAAAAATGACTTTTTTTTTCCAGTTGATCACACTTTTAAGTCACTAGAAACTATGAATTTGAGCCATATCTCTGAAGATTTTATCTTACTCATTGCAGGAAAGATCCAAAAATATCTCTAACTGGTCATTTCAGAAAATTAGCTCTAGTTAAATTAAAAGGCTTTTTGCTACTTTGAACCTGAACTGGCTAACTGACTCTACAGAAACTCCAATGACTATGTTGGCAGACAGACCTCTTTAGATGTCCCGGCTACAGTTTAATTAATTCTGTGACAGCTCTTAACCTTTCTCAATCTCAGTGTCACCTAATGCCTCTCAATCTTAACTCATTTGTCTTTAAAATACAGATGATGATAGCGCCCATCACATCAGGCTGCTGCAGGAATTAAATGAGGTAAAGTATGAAACACTCCCACACTTAACACGTGGTCACTCGAAATGCACTTGTTGTCTCCCTCTCGCTCAGGTGATTGCATCCTTGTAAAGCAAAGCTTGGGTTCAATGTTTCATGAGAAACCAACATCAAGCAACAACACTTCTGTCCCAAGACACCCAGAGCTTCCAAGCAGCTGGGACAGATGTCTTTATTGTGAGTGGAGAGGCCACAACACTTCAGAGCGTCACTGACTCTGCCCTGGGCCTTAGCAAACAGCCTTGGATGCAGTCAGCCTCTCAACTAGAAAGTGTATGTGCCTAGGAAGCATCTCACCCTGGGGAGTAAGAAACCACAAAGAGTTTTGTGGTTTCTAAAGAAGAGATTTGTTTATGCAAGATACTTCCTACGAGATGGTGATAGCTCTTACAGGGAAGCCAATACAAAAGCACAAAGCATAAGAACGCTAGGAAACATGTCATTTCACAAGTTGACCAGGTCATCAAGAAAAATTTATAACATATTCTTTTATTGGTAACTTTGAGATTTTTGAGAGCAACTCTTTACCAAGCGTCATACTGTACATGTCTGAAGTTGCCAGCATTTTCTTCAATCTCATGTGATAGTGGATAGTCTTAGATACATCAAAATAGAGTTTTGATGAATTCACCAACTAAATGCATTTACTTAAAAATGAAAGTACAGACCAGAGTTTCCTGAAGCCTCGGCACCCTGAGCGGCCTGTCATCAGAAATGCATATTTCTGTGAAATCATTTGCAATGGAAAGAAACGCTCAGTCACTCTTTAAAAGACACTATGTCTCACTGATAATAGCAATTTTCAATTGCACGTGAAACTTCTGAGGGATATAACAACCATTTGGGGAAAAGATATTCATATTTATATGGCAAAATTTTGCATTTTTATGATTCTGCAAGCTCAAAATTCATTAATTTGGTTATTTTAAATCGCTTTAAACACACACAATTATACCCACACAAACTGATGTGCACATGTAAATCAGAAAGAACACTTACTGTTATTTCATGCATGCTCAGAAGCTTGGGGTTCGGTGGCAAGGTTCCTAGGCGAAACTTGAAACCTTCTTCTAAGGTCATTCCCCAGAACTGGCTGTAGTTCTGTGCTGTCCATCTGCCTTACAAATGAAAGGGGAAGAAATATGTAGGTTATATTATGTCACTTTTATAAATACAAGTTCAGTTATATTTTTAAAATTAGACAGCAGCAAAAATAGAAATTATTACTGCTGGCTAGATAATCTTTATGTAAATGTACATTGTTGATTATTGTAACAATAAAGTGTTTGATACCCTTCCTAAAAACTGGTCCATTTCAATTGTGTAATGACTCATAAGGAACTGAAAGGCACAAGCTGAAACCAAGTATATGGAATCTTTACCTCCTGCAAAGGGAGGTAAAGTATAATAAAGGCCATTGCATAGAGTTTCCTTTAAATGTCATTAAATAGATTTTAGAAAGAAGCTTCAACATACAGAAATGTACTTATAGAATATTACTTATGAAAATTTACTTATAATTTATATTTGAAATTAAGTTGACCACATAAAAGAAGCATTCATGCTAGGCACAGGTGGTTCACTATAATCCTAGCTACTCAGGAGGCAGAGATCAGGAGGATCACAGTTCAAAGCCAGCCCAGGCATGTAGTTCATGGGACCCTATCTGAAAAAAAAAAAAAACCCTTCATAAAAAAGGGCTGGTGGAGTGGCTCAAGGTGTAGGTCCTGAGTTAAAGACCCAGTATCACACACACACACAAGAAAAGAAGCATACATGGAAAAATGAAGACAAGCTATACTTGCCTGCTAGGCCTGCAATCTACAACTAAGCTATATCCCCAGCCCAAAATTTTTACTTTCAAAAATTACAAAAATAACTAGTTACTTGAAATGGTCTATTTTATGTTAGTTACATAAGTTAATTTGTGCCCAGTGCTCAATTATCTTAGTTATTAATAGTAGTGTGAAATTAACTGATGTCAAAACACTAGGCAAAAAGTGCATATTTTTCTAGAAACACATTTGGTACTCTTCCTTACAAAGATACCTTGTTTTCAAAATATAATATTTAAATTTGAAGATAA